ATTATAAAATAAAGGTACAGCTTTATATCCAGTTTCCAACTTTTCTTTTTATATTTATTATGATATTTAAAATATTTATATATAATCTTATTCTGGAGAAAGACTTTTTTTATCTCTTTAATAAACTATTATTTTATTTTATCTTCTGTTCTTGTTATGTTCAATAATATTTGTTTAATAAGGTATTAATTCATATCTCACAATACCATAACATAATAATATTTAATTTTTAATTATTAAAAATACTTAAATTTCTCCTTCTCTAATCAAATTCAAAATAAACTCTCTTCGTTTTCTTCATAAATTACATGTTTAAATGAAACAGAATTTAAAGAAAAATGTACCTTCCTAAGATAATATATGTAAAATTAAATTTACTTTAACATAACATATCAGTAAATAATTTAATGATTTAGCAAACTATTAACACTTGTACAATTCATTTATTTCCCTAATGTTATTTTTTAGATTGATAAATTATTTTCAGAGACTATTAAAATTATTAGGATCATTCTACTATAATTTTTCACAGCTTAATATTTACTACATTTAATAATAAATTAATAAATAATTTATATTCTCTTGATCTTAATGGTTATAAATTTTTGCCATGAGAGATTTTTGATAAGACCTTTTTTCAAAATTAAATCTTGAAATATATATTTATCTTAATAATTTTATTTATAAACTTTCATCTATAGAACTCTTCTCACCCTTGGTTTAATTTATTAGAAAAATTGAAAGTAAGTAATGTATTAAATAATAAAAATTCTAATTTATTGGAAATCTCCTAAATGTATTGGTTAGATTAAATATCTCCTATTGATCTAATTAATGAATATAGCCTTAATTTTTAAAACAAAAAATATAATACTAATGGAAAAGTATTGATTCTATTAATCTTACTTACATTAAGATTTAAAAATACATCAAAGGAGAAATTAGGTAATAAGGATTTTAGATTAACAAGTTCAAGTTTATTATTATTAAGGAGTAATTAAAAAAGAAATACTTCTTTTTCTGGTTTACGTGATATTATACCTCCTACTTTTTCTGGTTTAGTATTTTCTTTAATTTCTTTAATTTGTTTTTTTTCTTTTTTTATTCAATCCTTACTGTTGGTTTAAGTTAATTTGGAGAAATAGAAAATAGTAATTTAAACTCTCCTACATTAAATTGTAAACATTAAGTATTGATTCATTAAATATATATAAAAAATCTTAACTTTCTCTGAACTCTTTTAATACATTTCTAATAATTTGGTTTCCTACTCTAAAACTTAATATAAATCTATTTAAAAATTTTGTTTGAATTCTAAATTATAAAATTATTAATATTTTACTATAAAGAGTCTTCCAATCCTTTATATTATTTAAAAATAAACGACTAATTAGATATTTAGTTGTTAATGACTAAAGAATTGGAGAAGTATCTGAACCTAAATCTAATATTTAATTTGTCTAATCTGTATAAATTTTAAAGTATTATTTGATTCTATTATTGAATGATTTGTAAGTTATTCAGAATAAAATTAAAATTTTCTTAAAGAATCTTATACTTCTTTATTAATTTATTATTTTATCACCTAGCTAACGATTCTAAATCCATCAATCCAAGTCATATGCAAATATACCTATATGAATAAAATGCACCATAAAATCATTCAATAATCTAATTTCATATAATAATCATAAGGATAGGCTCCATTATAAATAGAACATTATAGAAGAGGTAAAAAATGAGTGTAGGTGCATTTGTCAAAGTGAAACGTAATAATTAAAGACTAGTTTAGTTACTAAACTTAAATTATATATAAGTGACAATCAAAATCATTAAAAAAAGGAAAATGAAAAATTCTAGAATGGGTAGGAAATAAGATTACTTAGAAATTTTAATCATCCTAATGTAAACAATTATATGAAATATTTGTCAAATATGTAGAATTTGGAGAATTATTTGATTTAATAGTGTAAATAGGTAAATTACCAGAGAGTAAAGCTCATAATTAATTTTTATTATGGAGTTGGATATTGCCATAATATTTTAGTAGCCCATCGTGCGAGATCAAACATAAAAATATTTTGATAGACTTTGGATTAAGCAATTTAATGAAAGATAGAAAGTATTTAAAAATTACAAGTGATTCTCCAAATTATGCTACACAGAAAGTAATATTACGAAAGTCATAGCATGGTTCTGATATTAGATGTTTGGAGTTGTGGATTAATTGTGTATGTATTGCTTTATAGAATTTTAACTATTTTATGTAAAAACTACTTAAAGCTCTCTTGATAATAAAAAGTGCTGATTAGTCTATACCAAGTATTAAAGTTCATAAGTGAAACATCTTATGAATAAAATGCTTACACTAGATCCATTAAAGAGAATGAAATTTCATGAGGTTCATCAAGCACTTAAATACCCTTTTATCTCTAAAAACCATTTAAATTAGACAAAGGTCGTAAATAAATAAATAGAGAAACTTGTGAAAAATTAACGCAATTATAAACAGTTTATTTAAGAGAAGATATAATATAAAAACAAATTTAAAGGAGTATAAGAAAAAGAGAAAAAAATGTCATGTTAAGTAATTTATGATTTACTTTTGGGATAATTAGGAGTTGAATCTTATGAGATTACATAATTCGTGATTTAATATTTAATCCATAAATAGAAGGTTTATATGTATCCAGTTATAACTATAAAGCCATTTTTAACCCATTAAACATCATAAATTGGATCTGTAAATAATTATACATTTTATAATTTATCTTCTGTCCAATGATTTAAATGATGTGTACCAAAATAACTTTGATTTGTATGAAGAAGATTATAAATATAATGAATGTCTTTAAGTTGAAATTGTAAAATCTTCATAATCTAGACGTTTAAATTATTTTAATTATTAAGGTTACTGTTTCATAAACTATTTCTTACAAAAGCTTAGATATCTTGTTGAATCTAATTTTACTTCATGAGGAATTTAATTACAAAATTATATGTTTTGTCACATTTAAATAAGGTTTCTTTTGCTAATAATATTATATATTCATAATCTGAAGAGAATGAAATTGAATTGATTATATTTTAATTTGAATATTAAATTATTAATTATACCAATCTTCAATTCTAAAATCTCCTAATAATTTATTAAATACCTCAATACTATATTTTGAGTTTGCCATACAGAAGATTGGAAATTGAAGTAATTATTAGCAAATGTATTATCCAATCATCTAATTCCTTTTATTGTTTTTATACAAAAAAATAAGTTAATTCAGGAAGGTATTCTTATTATGTAAGGAGGAGTTGATTAAAATATATATAAACAATACATATTTTATAATTAATCAAAATACTCACATTCCTTCTTGAGTAGATTAACTACCTTAAGTAATTTCCTATTCTTCATTTTCTTAAGATAATTAAACTCTAGTTAAACAGATTGCTGCAGACAGAAATGATAAATTAATAATAAACATCCATAAATAGTTTATGTACTAATAATTCTATAAAACATTATATACTAATTTTAAACATTAGTTATTACTGGTAGGATTTCATTAAATATAAAACTCCAGACACAAACATTGTTAGTAAAAATCTAATTGCAACTGTTTAATTATTTGGATGTAAAACTCAGCATGCTAATTCAAATTATAATGGTATGCATGGAATCACAAAAAAGCCAAAAACTTATAAAACTAAATTATACTACTAAATAACATAATAAAACAATAGATAAACTTTCAGTCATTAATGAAAAATAACTGAAACCCAAAATAGCTAATAATATTAAAGAGGGACATTAAAGGAAATAATAAAGGTTTTTGAGATCAATAAATTGGGTTTTGAAGGAAATTAACTAGAATAAGTATTTTATTTATATTAAAATAAATTCAAATCATTTAAGTAATCACTATTTCTTTTAGGTATCTTGAATAATTGAATTTAAAAGGGTCCATACTTAATCCTAATATAGCAAAAGTAGTAACTAATTGTTTAATGAGAGCAACAATAATTACTAAATGTAAATTTCAAAATCAATTAGCTATTGATAAGGGATTAGTATAAATTGTT